GTGACAAAGATGATTGATGAGGACAGGGCAGTAGATATTATCAAAGTGGACTTTAGCATGGCCTTTGACAAGGTCCCTCATGGGAGGCTGATACAAAAGGTGAAGTCACATGGGATCCGCAGTGAGCTGGGAAGATGGAAATGGAACTGGCTTAGTCATAGAAGACAGAGTAGTGGTGGGTGTTTTTCTGACTGGAGATCTGTGACCAGTGGTGTTCAGCAGGAATCAATGCAGGGACTCCTGTATATAAAAAATGATTTGGAAGAGAATGCAGGTGGCCTGATTAGTAAGTTTGCCGACGACACAAAGATTGGCAGAGCTGCAAACAGTGAGGAGGATACAGCAGGATGTAGATAGGCTAGAGATAATTTAATCTGGATAAATGCAAGATGACTATTTAGAGGATCTAATGCGGGAGGGAAGTATGCAGTAAATGACAGAACCCTTAGCAGCATCAACATACAGAGAGAGCTCGGTGTACAGGTCCACAGTTCCCTGAAAGTGGCACAACAAGTGGATAAGGTGGTCAAGAAGACATATAGCATGCTTGCCTTCACTGGTTGGCATGTAGAATATGAAAGCTGGCAAGTCATGTTGCTCCTGTATAGAACTTTAGTTAGGCCACATGTGGAATATTGCTTACTTTTCTGCTCACCGCACTACCAAAGGATGTGGAGGTTCTGGAGAGGGTACGGAAAAGGTTTACTAGGATGTTGCCTGGTTTGAAGGGTATTAGCTCTGAGTTCAGATTGAACAAACTTGGTTTGGTTTCACTTGAACACTTTTTCGCTCAAAGGATGACCTGATAGAAATTCACAAAGTTATAAGAGGCATGAAAATATTGGATCCTTTTTCCCAGGGTGGAAATGTCAATTACTAGGGGCCATAGGTTTGAAGTGAAAAGGGGTAAGTTTAAATGAAATGTGTGAGGTGCGTATTTTACATAGAGCCTGATAAGCTCTTGGAATGCGCTGCCAGAGGAGTTGGTGGAGGTGGATACATTCGCAACATTTCAGAGGCATCTTGATAGATATATGAACAGGCAGGGAATAGAGGGATATGGACCACATAGAGACAAAAGGTTTTAAGTTTAGAAAGGCATCATGTATCAGTGTAGTCTTGGTGGGCCAAAGGGCTTGTTCCTATGCTGTACTGTTCTTTGAGGATATATAATAAGCAGAGTTAATAAAGGGAAACCAGTAGATACAGCATATTTGTATTTGCAGAAGACATTCAATAAGATGCTAAATAACAGATTGTTGCAAAAAGTAGAAGCTCATGCTGTTGAGGGTAATTGAGGATTAGTTAGCACACAGAAAACAGAGAGTTGGGATTAATGGGTCTTTTTCAGGTTGGAAGGACAGAACTAGTGGAATTTCACAAGCACCAAACCCAGGACCTCGGTTGTATATTGTGTATGGTAATGACTTGGAGGAAGAGGGAAAGTGCAGTATACACAAATTTGTTGATATGAAAATAGGTGGAGGACGTATTGTGATAAGGACATAAGGAATTTGAAGGGGATGTAGAGATGTTGAGTAAATGAGCAAAAACTTGGCAGATGGAGTTAATGTAGGAAAGTGTGAAGTCAAGCACTTTGGTAGAACGAGCCAAAAGGCAGACTATTTAATTGGAGAGAGACTCCATAAAACGGCAGCACTGAGGGGTGTTCTTATGCTTAAAATACAAAACGTTAGCATACAGGTACAGCAAGTAATTAAGAATGCAAATTGAATTTTGGACTTTATTGCTACGGGGCTGGAGTTTAAAGACAGGATGTCTTGTTCCAGATGGCCAGGAGGCGTTACTGAGACCACACCTGGAGCACAATATACAGTTTTGATCTCTGTATTTAAGAAAGCAGATATTGGAATTAGAGATAGTTCAGAAGACATTCACTGTACTGATTCCTGAGACAATGAGATTGGCTTATCAAGAACAGCCAAACAGGTTAGGTCTTTATTCAAAAGAGTTAAGAAGAACGAGGTTTGATCTTACCGAAGCATACAAGATTCTGAGGGGCCAGGGTAAACATTAAGATTGTTCTACTCGTCAGGGAATAACAAACTGGGGGACATGGTTCACCACCATTTTCTCAAAGCCAACTCGGGATGGGCAATAGGTGCTGGCCACAAGTGTATTAAAAAAGATAGTTACAGAATAAAGGCAAATTAATTTAAAACTGAGGTGCAAAGAAGTTTCTCCTCCCAGAGGTTAATGAATTCTCTAATCCAGAGAGTTGTGAAGGCTCGATCGCTGAATGTATTTGAAGAGGAGGTGGATAGATTTTTGCAGTATTGAGGCGATGAGAGGAGCTGGTATAAGAGGGGAGTTGAGGCCTAGGTCAGACCAGCCATGATCTTGTCGAACTACAGGAGAGGCTCGAGGGAACAAATGGCCTTCTCTTGCTCCAATTTCTTATGAATCTCTGAAACGCACAGGCAGGATCTCAATTTTTAAAATAACAATGAAAGATAGCACTTTCAACAAAATAGCACACCCCTACTCTTACCTTAACCTGTACTGGAACCCATTATTCTCTGCTTCATTGGAAGGAAAGTTTCCTGTTAAGCCAAAGTCCTGACGAAGGGTTGCAGGCCAAAACGTTGACTTTCCTGCTCCTCGGATACTGCCTGACCTCCTGGGCTTTTCCAGCTCCACATTTATTGACTCTAGATTCCAGCATCTGTAGTCTTTACCGTCTCCAAGAAATATAATGTAATTTTGCAGTGATGGACACAGTCTTACCAAACTAAAGAGGGACTTTCTCCCTTTTACTGGCTGAACACCATCAGTTGGAAGAGGAGATATGCTCAGATTGATACAGGGGCACAGACAAAGTCACCCGATGCAATCTACATCTGATATTAAAACAATGTTCTTGTCTTCAATAGCTTCACCAAAAGAGGGAGCTGTTTGATCTTTGTTTCATCATCAAAACCTGCCTTAAAGACAAGCAATTCGAAAAATAACTCAATAACTGAATGATGCCCAACCCTCCAATTTCAGGGGCTCTGTCTAATGGTTCCAATGGATCAGACAAGAGTGATCATAAGACCACAAGAATTAGGAGCAAAACTAGGCTAGAGTCTCATTTGTTTTCTCCCCACAGCTGTTGCCAGACCTAGAACATAGAACATAGAACAGTACAGCACAGAACAGGCCCTTCGGCCCACGATGTTGTGCCGAACTATTATCCTATTCTAAGATCAAACTAACCTGCATACCCTACATTTTACTATCCTCCATGTGCCTATCCAAGAGTCACTTAAATGTCCCTAATGTTTCTGACTCCACTACCACTGCCGGCAGTGCATTCCACGCGCCCACCACTCTCTGTGTAAGGAAAAGACCTGCTGAGTTTCGTTGGCAGTTTCTGTTTTTCCAGCAGAATTCGGCTATTTAGCCCCTCGAACCTTCTGTGTCACCCACTAAGATGGCTGATCTGACTGTGACCTTAACTCCCTTTCCCAGCTGGCTCCCCATAACCCATCCAAGGCCTACACCATTCTGATTTGGAATTGCAATGCTGCTCTCAGATTGTCACCAGGTTGACGAACCTGGACCTTTCCTTCTCTCCCCCCCCCGCCACTAATAGCACGTCCAGGACATGAACTGTAGCTGTTCACCACTGGCTTCTCAAGAGTCATTAAGGGTGGGCAATAAATGTTGGCCTCGTCAGTGATGGGCACATTCCCAAGAATGAATAAATATAAAACACAAAAAAAAACATCCAATAGATAAGACTTCCTGCTGGGTGTCTCTTCCAGCCAGTGTATCTATATTAAAAAATGAAGCCAAGACCTAGCAACCTTCAATAACATTGTCTTTTTCTGCAAGATTCAACCTTCTGGGCACCATTATCAGGAAAATGTATTATCCTGAGAAATACACTCCACCAAATTGACAAGGCTTCTTTGACAGTAATTCTCAATCACACCCTTCCTCTGCTGAAAAGAGCAAGTGCGTTAGCCCGCTATCACCTTCAAGTTCCCCTCCAAGTCAGATATCACCCTGACTTAAAGATATATTGCCGTTCCTTCATCATCACAGAGCAGTATTCTGGGATTATTACTATCCCAGTTGATGGTAATACTGGACAAGTCAATCCCTGATTTAATGGATCTTATATTTAATCTTTGTAGTTGGTTAACATGGTCGCTAGTCACTGGAATATATTCACAGGAGGCTGTAGATGTTCTTTAACTACAGGATATAAATTTGTTTTACAAAGAAAAAGTTTATGCACATAGTGCAGTTTGAAATATCTTAACATAAACAACAAAATGACGTTTCAACCTGTTTCCCAACACCATCCATTACGGAATCTTGTTCTCAGAGATATATCCTTGCTATCTTGGCCATTTAAAATCTTTACTTAGCTATGACTTTCCACCTTAACAATAGATTCCAGAAATTACTCTATGACAGAGGCTACACTAACTGGCCTGTAGGAATAAATGATGCTACAGTAATAAGTAGATGGCCTATTCATTCCCTCCGTCATGCCCTTGCGGACACAAACGTTTCTGTTTTTGGGCCATCTCTGTTCAAATCCATGCTTTTGATATCGAATGCGCCCCTGACTCAGGTTCTGGCCTACTTGCCTGGACTGACAGATAACAGCAGGAGTTGCAAGTCTCAGACGCATTACACTTGTCAGACGTGGGTGAGGGGGCAAGGGAGTGGGAGGGAGAGAACAGAGGAAGTGTTTTGCGAGATGGCTACTTCACATTATGAAGATTGGGGAGAAAGAGAGAGAGAAGAGATGGGGAGTAATGGTAGCCTCACAATAGTGAAGCTGAGAGGTCAGGAATGCACAGAACGCAGGGTAGAGAGTGACAAAAAACTTGAACTGGGAGTATTTTTTTTGTCTCTGTGTTCGATATGAACAGGACCAATGTTCCTTCCTTGGCTGTAGTTTGACATTTGGTTTGCAGACATCTGCATTGTTGCAATGAGGGAAGTAACTTGCATTTTGTGTTTATTGTTCATTGCAGAATTGGCGAGAGAATTGAACTTCTCTGTCGATGACATTAATCAGATTCGGGTTGAAAATCCGAACTCGCTGACCACTCAGAGCTTCATATTGTTGAAGAAGTGGGTCTTTCGAGATGGGAAAGATGCAACAAGTAAGTTTAAAAAATGAAGCATGTGATAAAATCCTACAGACACTATGTAAAATTCAATGCTCAAATCCCTGTCAGAAGTTACAATTGAACCTGCTTTCCCCATCATTCTGAGGTAACACAATCCAAATCTTCACAACTCGCTGCCCAAGAAGAATTTTCCAGTTCTCTGAGAGACTCAGTACCATTCAGCGTGATCTGAAGTGTTTACTGGAGCTCTGAGAACTGAATTACACACGACCAACATTTCTGACTTAAGCTCTGCTGTCCAGTCTTGAATGTGGCGGACAATAAAGCAACCGACAGGAGTGGAACGTTTCAATAACATTCTCATCCCCAATGATAGAGGTGCCCAGCACGTTGTTGGGAAGAACAAGGCTGGAGCCTTGGTAACCCCTGACAACTAGATGTGCCAATTGATGATCCATCTCGACCTCGCCCCGAGGTCCCAGCAGCCCAGCGACTAGGCCTCAGCTAATCTGATTGGTTCCTCATGTTATCAAGAAGTGGCTGAAGACATTGGATGCTGCAAAGGCTTTGGCACTGACCACATTGAGACAGTGGTGCCGAACACCTTGAGCAGAGATCGAAATCGTGGGCCCTGGTGTTGCACCTGGCCCCCGATCCAGGCAGAGGGGACCCACCACAAACCGGGTAACCGACTCAGACCCTGGGCATCTGCCCCGACCCTGTCCTGACCCAGGCACGAGAGACCTGCCCCAACCTGGAAATGGCTCAAAGCCTGTCCACCATCTCCAAAGCACAGGTCAGGAGTGTGATGGAGTACTCCCCACTCGTCCAGATGAGCGCAGCTCCAACAACAGTAAAGGAGCTCGACACCATCCAGGACAAACCATCCCACTTGATTGGCGCACCATCCATCAACCTTCAACATTCATTATTGATTGACGATGGCTGCAGTGTATACCAACTACAAGATACATTGCACCAACTCAACAAGAGTTCTTCAACAGCAAATTCCAAATCCTTAACCTCTACCCTCTAGAAGGACAAGAGCAACAGATGCATAGGAACACTTCCAACTGCAAGTTGCCCTGCAGACCACACATTCTCCTGACTTGATCACTGTTCCTTCACTGGAGCCAAGCCAGAACCCTGAATATGCTCACAGCACTGAGGCTGCAATGTGTTGTCATGATTCAAGAAGGTGACTCCCCACAGCTTCTCAAGGAGCATTAGGGGCTGGCTTATATTGTCCTTGAGCTGTGGGATCCCTAGACCACCCTGTCACACTCACAATTGTCTGTGAAGTTTAAACTTTCCTGGCTTCTGGAACCCCTGATGAAGTCCCCAGCTGAGTCAGAATTGGAATCTGTGGAGGTTTCTGACTTTAACAGTTAACCAGGAAATGTTGGAAGAATTGAAACCTGTCCTAACTCCTGGCTAACTATAAGAATGATTCTCCAATCACTGCTCCAGACACCTCTCCCTCTCTCCCACTGTTGCTGCTTCTTTCTGAGCCCTCCAGCATCCAGAAGTACTGGGAGATGGAGGCAGGGTAAATATGTAGGGGTGAGAGCAGCAATCCCACAGGTGATAGTCTCCTCTGTCTCTCGTTTTTGCACGTTTCTCATTCATGCACACATGCACGCACACTCATACCCTCATGTTTACACCCTGTCCCCAGTGCTCTGACAAATGTTCACTGCACTGTGCTCTATCTCTATCTCACAGCCCTAAAGTAAAACTCAGTGTCTTGATTCATATTGCTGACTGACTGTCATAAGGTTACAGATCTCAGCAAAAATATCAAGTACGAGTCAGAGCCCAGGCTTTTAGAAGTAGCTTTGGCCTTGCTGTAAATGTTTGATGAAGGAATTAAAAAAATATAGTTATATGGATAAATATTATCATGTCCTTGTGAAATATGTAATTCTTACATTTTCTTTAGTAACATTTTCAAACTTCAGAAAATAATAACTGGGCAAAGAAGTTCTGACGGTGTTTATTGCAGCTTTTGGGACCCCAGTAGGCATATTGAATGATTACAGGGTGACATGTTTTCACTAGAAAGCAAGGACTATGAGAAACAGGCACAGGAGGAAGCCATTCACTGCCCTGACATGAATCAGAAGTTCGTTTGCCTGCCTTAGCTCCATCCCATTGCATGCACTTGCCTCACAGAGTCCACCAAGCTTTACTTCCCACTGCCTCGGGAAAGCAACCAACATAATCAAAGACCCCAACAACCCCAGTTACACTCTCTTCCTCCCTTTTCTGTCCAACAGAAGATATAAAATTTTGCATTTACGTCCGAATAGATTCAAGAACAGATTCTTTCCCCACTGTTATTAGACTTCTGAAGGGACCCCTCAAGTTTTAAATTTAATGTTGATCTCGCTGTCTGTGCACCTTCTCTACAGCCATAACATTGTATTCCTCGCTCTATTCTATTACCCTAATGCACTTTGTATGGTATGATTTGCCTGTACTGCATGCAAAACAAAACCTTTCACTGTACCTAGGGACATGTAATAATAATAAATCAATTCAACTCAAATCCATCTCAGACTTGATGCAATATCTGTAGCTTTTTGAAGCAGTTTAGAAAAGTGCTTTCTGATTCTATTCACAAATGTTCTATATTTATAACTGTGTTTTATTATTGTGTCCTTTGTTCTGCATTCCCCAAATCTATCCAATTAATTTAACAGGTGCAAAACTGATTTAATGGTCATTATTGAATCAGAGATAGTAGGAACTGCAGATGCTGGAGAATCCGAGACAGCAAGGTGCAGAGCTGGATGGACACAGCAGGCCAAGCAGCATCAGAGGAGCAGAAAGGCTGAC